GGGCACTCCTATAGTGTAAAAGAAACACTATCATCATTCACTGTTTTCACAATGTAGTTTTGTAATTTATCAACCATGGAAACAGGAGGAAAAAAAATCATAAATGCTACAGTGGCTTCATATCAATGTAGAACAGCACACACAGTCCTTCATACCAAATTATACTTTAAATAATGGTTCGCATGCAGATAATCTGGTGCTGTGAGCACTATAAAAAAATAACACAAGGACAAGCCACAACGTTACATAAATTGCTAGCTAAAAATAGGAGTACAAGCATAAACCTATGATTGAGTGCTTCTTGTTGCATACTGAAAGAAAGCCTGCATCTTAACAATTAAATCAAGACAAAAATACAAATCAGAGGCATTCTAGCTGGGTACACATCTATTGTCTCTTGAGTATGTAATTCCTACAAAGGTAAAGAATAAGTAGTACAGCAGAGCCCATACAGGTGCCTGATAATAAACTGCCACCTAGTGGTTCAACTACACATTCCTAAATTTTGTACATGGGCTAACTAATGCAGAGAATATTATTTATCTTATATCCATGGTCACCACATACTTGTGAGTAATTTAGATGTAGGCATTCCACGCAAGTCTGTGGGCAGACGACCACATACATCACAAGTGTCAAATTTTTTCCATGGTTAAAAACTCAAATATCAGATAATACTCAAGTCAACACTGGTAAACAGCCCTTCAGCAATACAAAGCTCTTCCACTTCCTGTGACTCAATTGATTCATGACATCAAGCAGAAAGTTACAATCCTCTGAAAACCCTAATCATGTTCTACTAGTTTAAAGGATCACCTTGCAATTTAACATCAGCCTGGTAGTCAATCAGGAAGAACAGGAAGAGAAAACTAAAGTCTTTCAACCTACCCACATAAGTACTTCTACATTCCTTAGTCTAATCCAATAATCCCATATAATCAAAGTGCAAGTGTGTTTGACTTCAACAGCTTGCTGTAAGAATGTGTCATAACTCACTACCACCACATACTGGATTATAAAGTTGCCATTTCAAAGCCTTTAGAAAAAGGCCTACTTGGCAAAGGAGGGGCTAGATTTTAACAGAGAAGTTCAGTATTCAGAACAGGGGCCACACTTTCAAGAGAGCTCAGCTCCCATTTAGACCCAAAAGTAATGACTGGTTTTGTTTTTGAGATTTGGGCACCAAGCTTCTTTGGGGGAAAAAAACTGGCCCCAGGTGTCTCAAAAATTGTGAAATAATCTCATTCCACATATACAGGCACAAAAGTGAGCACAAACTGAAAGTTACTGGCATATGCAGTAAGAGAACAAGAACACTAAAGTAAGTTAAGAACAGTCTGAAACATGTATATTCTTAACACAGGGCAAAGTGCTAAGCACACCACGCACACCAAGCATATCCATACCACCTCTGTCATAGAAGCCAATCCTGTTCCAATGTAGAACATCACTCCTGTGACAGAGGAAGGTGAACTGGAAGAATCAATCTGCATAGGGAGAAAAGCACAAAGAGTCAAACAGCCACAAGGGGATCAGTCAAGGTGAAGATCCATCAGCACAAGTAGTTTTACAAAGTAATGGTGCAGATGTGTTAGGTGACAAGAAGAGGCAAGAGGGAGAGTAAAAGGGGAGCAAAAGGAGACCAACAGATGCCAGAAGAAAGAAAAAATGGGAATGGAAAAAGAGATAATAAAAGAAAAAAAATAAAAGCAGCAGATGCAATTAGTAAGGAGAAATTCCGTCTTGCTGCCAGCAATGCCTTTTTGTAAAATACAGACGGAAGATGAGGAATCAGTTCAGACACTGGGAAATGCAGGAGCAATAAAGAAGAGCCAAATAACCTGACAAAGAAGGAACCTGAAAACAAAATGTTAAGTCCTAAGAGCACCTAAAGGTGAACCTTTTCTTATAGTTTAAGACTTTCAGACTTTCGTTGGGGAAAACTCCCAGCATCTTCACCATGATTTAAGATCAACTTGTTGAATATTCTGAATCTTCTTGCTGTAACACACTTCTTTTTCATCATCATTTTACTCTGACTCCACTGCACTAAATGCTTCCTCTTGGACCCCAACAGAACATACAATCCTTCTAACCCAGTGGTCCCCAACACCGTGCCCTCGGGTGCCATGGTGCCCGCCGGGGCATTTGTGTGTGCCCGCCTACTGACCAGGGCCGGCCCGAGCCATTCTTGCGTCCTGGGCCCATGAGCGGCCCTTACCCCCAGGCCCATGGCGCATGTGCGGTCCTTGCCCCCAGGCGCCCAGCAGCCCCAAAAGGTTGGGGACCACTGTTCTAACCCATCCACATACAAGAGCCTAAAATATGTCATTGGAAGGGGATCTTTCTGAAAATCTAAAATACCAAATTATGTAAGGGCCACAATTGTATATTTACATATGAAACAAACACAAGAATCAAAAGCCTCAAGGGGTAGCCGAGTTAGTCTGTTACTGAAAAAAAACTAACAGATTTTACTCTGACTCCACTGCACTAAATGCTTCCTCTTGGACCCCAACAGAACATACAATCCTTCTAACCCAGTGGTCCCCAACACCGTGCCCTCGGGTGCCATGGTGCCCGCCGGGGCATTTGTGTGTGCCCGCCTACTGACCAGGGCCGGCCCGAGCCATTCTTGCGTCCTGGGCCCATGAGCGGCCCTTACCCCCAGGCCCATGGCGCATGTGCGGTCCTTGCCCCCAGGCGCCCAGCAGCCCCAAAAGGTTGGGGACCACTGTTCTAACCCATCCACATACAAGAGCCTAAAATATGTCATTGGAAGGGGATCTTTCTGAAAATCTAAAATACCAAATTATGTAAGGGCCACAATTGTATATTTACATATGAAACAAACACAAGAATCAAAAGCCTCAAGGGGTAGCCGAGTTAGTCTGTTACTGAAAAAAAACTAACAGATTGTCTGGTAGCACGTTATAGACTAACGAAACATGTAGTGGACTCAGCCCACTTCTTCAGATGACCCAAGTTATGAGTTGGAGAATGGGTACTTAAACCTAAGCAAATAAAAATCAAAGTCAATAGATAGATTCCTAAAACAGGAAGGATACCAGTATTTGCTGAGTTATTTAATCCACTTTGTAACTGGAACTACATTATAAGTGCTGGAACTAGGGGTGCTGGAAGTGCAGTAACATCCCATGGCTTGAAGTGGTTTCCCATATATATGGGTTTACAGTTTGGTGCCATGCGCCCCTGACTGGACCCCAATTTTAACTTTGCTACAGGAACCTAAACTTTGCTCCAGGAACCATCAAAACCTTATTCACAATTCACACTTGCACGACTAAAGGTTACAGGATACAGACATTAAAGAATCTTGACACAGGAAAGGATAACAAAGGAAGGACATAGAAATTCAAGCAATAGGCTTTAACATGTGAGTAACTCCTGGTTCCACTGAAGTCATCAGCAAAACTCCCATTAGAACAGGATTTTACCCTATGTAAATGCTTTGCGGTTAAATCTATTTTAATTTAATCTAATTAATATGTCAGAATTAGCTGCTGGTGCCCAGAAGAGAGAAGTGATGATATAATAGAGATTCTAACACACACATACACTTTATAAAAATCACAATGTGGAATCCTATAAATGGAGTGTCCATTAGGCTGCAGGCATGTTTGACAAAATGGGTATAAGCTAAAAGAGTAGCATTTTACATGCCCTCTGTTTTTACTTTGCACAGAAAGCAGAGCAATGGAGAGTACTTATATTCTGCTTAACCATCATATCTACTTCTCCTCTTTTTCCCCACTGCTCCCATTGGCCAAACTGCAGTCAATGGGAGCATTGAGAGGCAGTGCTCCCCATCCCCCTCACACACACACACACACCCCTGCCATGACACAAATAATAAATGTGATAGACAACCACAGAAGACCCATGGCAATGAATTGATACATACGATAAGAAGTTGAGATCAAGGATATACTGGCCTATTGGAAAAAGACACTTCACCACTAGTAAGGTGAGGCAATACAAATAAGGAGAAAAGGAAACATCTTCTACTGAATATGCACCAAACTTAACAATGTCAGCGTAATGTGATAAAAGTGGCATCCCAGCCTAGGAGAAGGAGGTAAAGTCCTTGAGTCTTAAGGGTGGTAACTGGAAATTCATAAGCCATCTTAGATCAGGCAACAGTCAAACACAGTTTCCACTGCTACCCTGCAGCTTCTGCTGGGGGTGTCAGGGCAATGGGGGCTTCCTTTACCAGGACAGTGTTGAGAGCAGTGGGAGGGGGGCTCTCTCCTACCTGGCACCTTTGAATGGGAGGGATTTTCTCCCATTTTGCAGCTTCTGTCAGGGATGATACTGCTGAGGGAGGGGGGTCTTCCCCCATCCCAAAACTAGTTCCAAGAGGGTGTTTATGGCAGATGCTGTGTCCCCCCCCACGCAGGGTGGTGCTGCGCGGGGGGGGGGGGGCTTTCCTGTCCTGTGGCTTCTGCTGAGGGCAGAGTCAGGTGGCATGAGGGCTTCCCAGGTTCACCCACCAGGCAGAAGCTGGGAGGCCCCTCTGTTGGCTAGGGCCCCCGGTCCAGGACCCATATTCTCTGTGCTCATCTGCCACTGCCCAGAGCACCAGTAATCTTCTTGGAACAGCCCTTTGGTGGAGAGGGAGGCATGATGTGGAGCTCCTAAAGAGGATTATTAAAAAAAAATAAAGGAAGAGTTGTACCTGTTGAGAGAACATGACTTGAGGGAATCAGGGAGTTGGGAATCTCTCCTTCCCCTCCATTCAGAGAGAAGGGAGCTATGCACTGGTGGAAAATGAGTATTCCTTCTGAAAAAAAGCTGAGGCCGCTGAAGAAGTCTCATAACAATGAGGAACCATTTTCTCCTAACAATGTTATCAGTCAACACAAGTAAACTAAAGACGACATGAAGCTTTAGAACCAAACTTTTATAAAATAATTGTAACGAATAAAGCAATCATGAGCCTACAATTTCTTAAAGTGGAATGCGAGAATATTAATTACCTCCTGGTTATCCTTATTCTGGTTTGCCCAGAAAATCTTGTGATAAAGAGACTCCATTGAATTGCTGGAATCTGATCGGTCAAAACAATGTCGATCCAAGACCTCCAGTGTATGCAAAACTCGGCTGATGGTGACCCCTACATATGGAAATTAAAAAATAATTATAATAATAATTATAATAATTAATTTACCAGAAAAAAAATCTTCATTAAATTTACATCTTCACTGGATACAGGCAGCACTAATGACTGTGTTAAAAGGGTAAAAAAGCTATCTCCACCACATCTCTTAAATAGGAAGAAGGTGAATTTGATATTTATGATACTATGAAAAGGAGTTAATTTGAGTAGTGGATCTCATGACACCTGTCCTCAGCCAATATGACTAAAACTAATATTAACTTCCCCATTGAACTAATGGCTCTGCTTCTCAGAGACACTATCAACTTGGACTAATGTTGGGCTAAGACCAGAGGCACTTTCTCTTTTCATGAGTCCTTTGAGCCACTGCAGCCCACCAATGCTGCAGCAGATACTAAGTAATCAACAGCTGATCCACATAAAATTAATCATACTGCAATGTAATCAAGCCCAAACACACACAAATATGCCAAGCCTAGGATCCAAAATGTCTAACATTTATTTGGTGTTTGACTTGCTTTACCTGCCGTTGATTCTTGGCACTTGTCGAAAGACCATCGTACCTCCACAGCACAACCTCTTTGTTTTATCTGCTGTTCTACTTCATAAATCTTTGCCCGAACCTAAAAAGATTATTGTTACTCATTACCAGTCGTGGGGAAGCCAGAATTCTCAGCTTTAGCATGCGACATTTCTCTGCCAGAGTAAGATATAGTCATTACCAGTCATGGGGAAGCCAGAATTCTCAGCTTTAGCATGCGACACATTTCTCTGCCAGAGTAATATATATGAGAGTGTCCAGGCTCATCAGTTAAACTTCACAGTAATACGCAGGCTCGTCTTCTTACCCTTCTTCCCCATGCTGCTGCCTCTGTATCTGAGGCAGCAGCACGGGTTGGAGGAGGGAAGAGGGAGCTCATATGCAGATACAAAGGCAGCAGCACCAGGGAGGGGAGCAAGTGGCTCCACAGAAGCCACTCCTACATATAAACGTGTGACCTCCTACTATTTGTTGTTCTGTACCACTAAACAACATCTGTTTAACTCTAGATCTTTACTTTGAAATCATTAACAATGCTGTAATTTAAATGCACAATGCTTTAATCCCATACTCATAATGATTTGACAAACAATTAATACACCATAACTAATACAATTCAAAAGTTAACATGTCAGTAATCCCAAACCAAGACTAGCCATACCTAAACCTTGTAGTCTTAATGAAGGTATACAAAATGCAGAGTTTTGCCCTTCAAAAGCAAAACAAACCCACCTGTTGATTAAATGCTGAATTTCCACCTGGCATGGGTAAATTAGATGGAGCAACTTGAAGTAAATCCAGAGGAGAGCCTGGATTAATGCTCTTATTTTCATTTGTGGAATAATTCCACACCAAGGCACTTGGGCAACAGAGAGTTACAGTCTGCAAGTGACAATGTAAAATAGTTAAAAGTAATCTCTTTTGCAGAACATTTGCAATAGACAGGGTCATGGCTAAACATCAACAAAAGGAGATAATCTCTTCAACTAAATCACTTCTGTCCTCACTACTGCAGTGAAAATGACTAAAAAAGGCTTTTGCAGACCACTGGCTTTTTAAAACATCAGTGTGGGAAATTAAATTAAAATTGTATTTTCTTTGCTCATTATTAAATTGAAATTTGCATTTAAATCTACATTTGCTCAATTTACATTTGCATTGCTTTCATGCTGCCATCAAAGAACACTTATTGAAGGCTAATTTCCATCAGACATTGGCTATGAAACATGGATAACTTTCAGCAAATAGGTGTCATTTTAGGATTTAGTTTACAAAGAGAAGTTGCATATGGGAAATTAAAATGTAACTAATTAATTAAAATATCCTTTCCTACCCCGGACTTTAAAAACACAAAGGAGCTATTCAAATGCACCAGGAAAATGTCACTTATTTCTAAGCAAATCTATCATTATGAAAGGTGGGGCAGCAGAGGGGCGGAGACCAAGAGCACCAGAACAGGTTCCCCAGTGCAGGGGGGTACAGAGCCTCAGGGGGTAGATCCAGGAAAGGTGGGGGCTGCATCCAACCCTTGGACCGGAGGTTCCCCACCCCTGATTTAGATAGGAACCCACTTAGAGGGGCTGCTTATGATAGCAACCCATCCTGCTCTAAATTACTTGCATAAGAACAAATTCTAAGTTACTTTTGAGATTGTCAATCTGTTTGAAGTTTTTTGCCCTGTATTTTTGGAAACTTTTTTTGGTGAAGGGGAACTGGCTCTTAAAGCATGATTTGAAAAGCTGATAGGGTAAGGTTCTTCCCAGCTTCTTCTGAGAAGAGGTTCCCGAGTCCTGAATTATATTCTTCGAAGTCTCTTCCTCTTGCTCTCACAAATCCAGATCTGGATTCTGACAACAGTAGCCTGCTAAACAGGTTGCCTGAGAAGTGTCATTTGAAGATAACCTGGGCATATCCCATTGACTGCTGCGTGAACCAGTACCAAAACTTAGTATTGATCTGGTTGAAGAGCATACTATAGTCTCTCTGGACAATTCCGCTTAGGAAATAAATCTCCTTGTTCACCAGCTTTATGTATTTGTCTGGGCTAAGAAAGAGGAGGAGCACATGCTGCAGAAATCCAATATGGAGGCAAACACATACACATTAGCTCCAAAGGCAGGTCCTTGTCCAAAAGCAACAGGAGTCCATTAGGAATTTGACTGACACTACCCATTTCAAACTGACTAATGAGCAACCAAGAGATGGTAATAATATTTGTCACAAATAGATACAAAATAATGACCTCTAGGTATGAGACTTTTTATCCCATTACCAGACCCATAAATCAAGTCCCCAGATACATTGCAGTAAAAATTGTTAGAGCCTTGAAATCATCTACCTACCTGCAGCATACAACTAAGTCCATAAACTAGTGGACGATGTTGTGGGCAAGAAAAGAAATCTGCACAGGCTAGCTGTACCGGGCTCACCACAGGACCATTTGCAGTAGGACTTGGAGCTGCCAAAGGAGGATTGTTTGGTCCAATAATCATATGAGGTGAATGTGCAGCTACGAGGTTAGGAGTATCACTTAGCAATAAAGACAGTCGTCTGGCACAGAAATAAGCGAGGCGACGGGACAGGTAGGCTGATTGAACAAACTCTTCTGAATACTGAAACAAAAATTGCATAATTTCTTAAGCATCACAGCCTTTTCAAGGTACTCACTTTCACTACGATTCTAATCTCTAATTGACATAAATTAGAAGGGATCATCTAATGTACCTAGAAGATCTAATAGAAAACATAGTTGAAAAAACACTAGCCCACAGTTCTGATTCTTTAAAATACTTTCTGTCTTCAAAGAGCAGGTATTAGCTTGTTTTTCTACTAAGAAAACCTAATTTACGTATTCAAGGCAGGAGGACTTTTAAAACATTAAAATGCATACAAAACTACAGCTTAGTCCAAATACAAAGCATCTAGAAAAGATTTCAACACATTTTATATGTAGAGCATTACTATATAAACAATTTTTATATATCTTGATGAACGCCAAATAAAAAATAATTACCTAGAGTATTTTAAAATAGAATTGGCTTCAAAAATAGCTATAGCTTTAAACCATGTTCTGTACCTGCAACATTAGTGGTAACAAGAGTTTAAGAAGTTCATCATCTGTCGGTCTGATTTTTTCCAGAACATCCAGTATCCATGTCAAATACTCATGTCTTTCAAGCATTCCCTCCTGAAAGAATTTTTTAAAAATTGCATCAAAATTAATTGGAAGCAGCACAAAATAAACTTTATAATTTTGTTATGAATGCTCCTGTATCATGATACTTGGATCTGATGACATGACTTCAAATCAAAATGAATTTAAGGCTTGATAAGATGCTATAACTTGCAAAAGATTTTTAAAAATTAGCCTTGGAAGAAAAACGTGCAAGAACAAATGCTACTCCAACAGCCCAGCAGATGAAGAACCAACCATGAACTGGAATGGACTATGCATACAGTTCAAATTCACCATACTGTTCGAACCCTATCCCCTTGATAAATTCACTCCTTTTTACTGCTATTTTTAATAATCAGATGAGAAAGAGGTGCTTAGTGGTAGGCAAACAAGTTGGAATACACAGTGAACCATGCAGGAGAAGAGCAAGGCTGACCAACCAGGAGGGAAAACTCCACAAGCATGGTCTTATACTTTGCAAATGGGAAATCAAGAAACCCTCAAATCCAGGAATAGATCCCTGTATGTGACCTGGCTTCATTCCCATTCAAATTGCACATTGGTTAGTCTATACAATAGCTATTTACTAGTTACACCTTCTTTAGCTTCTTGTAAACCAAAATTACTATAACTTACAACAGGAGATAGGAAGAAACAGTAACTTACTTTACATAACTGAGAGACACGTGGCCCATATATATTCCACGGTTGGTGCAAATACGCCCGATACACTTGAGTTCAGATTCTTTTGGCCAGCAGTGTGTGTGGGTAAGCAATGGCTCACCTTAAGCGTCCTTATGCACTGAAAAGAGGCATAAAGAGCAGGATGGCCTCAACTGTCTCTCAATTCCTTAGCCCAATACAGTATCCAGATGTTATCAGACTCCTTAGTAGCAGGGTCACGGAATATTCATAGACAACACATCTCAAAGAAACACAATTACTATAGGGTAAGTACTTATATTATCTTTGAGTACTTGTTCATGCATATTCCATGGCTTGTGGCTCACAAGCAGCAGCTTAGATTATTGGAAGTGAATATTACCAGTCCACCTAAACAAAGACTACAGGTAGGCCATTGCCATCGGGGATACTGAAGTCTCTCCTATAACTTTCTTTTTTTTTAAATGGAGTTCATATTGATTGTTCTTGATGAAAAGTTTCAGTCCTGTAGTATGGAGTATGCAAATAGTTGCATTGACAGGTTTCAAATGAACCAGTCACCTAAATACAGATAAATCTGAACTCCTTGTTTCCTGAGGTAAGCCCCAACTACTGCTAGGGATTTTGTGAATACCTTTCATGCTGTCAATTGGTAAAATGGTGAAACACTATCCTGGTAGAGGGAACTGTCCACTTGTCATCTCAGATACCTTATATAGGCAGAATGAATCACTACGTAGAAGTAGGTGTCTTGGAAATGAAAGCTATATGCAGTCGTGTGGATCTAGAGTTGGAAATACCAAAATTATAACTACCAATGTGAACTTGTGCATGAAGGTTTTAGTTGTCCCAGGTCCTGAATGAGGGATCATCCCTCTTCCTTTCTGGGAATCAGAAAGTAATGAGTAAAAGCCCTGCCATGTTCTTGAGGTACTTCTTCCCTGTTCTGAGATGTGGAAGTGACTGCACCTCCTGATTTAGCATACTGTCTTGACAGGGCTCCCTAAAAACAGATGAGTGGGGGTTGGGACTGCACAATGAGCAACAAAGCTTGGACACTGCAAATCTGACTTGTAGCCTAGGCATGTTAGATACTGTGTAACTGAATTTTACATGAAATTTTAGCAGTTACTCAACTATTTGATAGTCCCTGGGAGGTGGGGCCAGCAGTCAGTGCACTCCAGGCCCAACTCCCAGGGAGCCCCCTGACACCCCGCACTGCTGCTTCTCTATCAGAGGCAGCAGCATGGGGAGGCAGGTGGGACCCTGTCCACAAGGGGAACCAGTTTAATAACCAGCTTCCTGCGAAGACCAACTCCACCTGCCACCTTGCACTGCTGCCTCTGATAAAGAGGTGGCACTGCAGAGCTGGTGCTGGGGGGTGAGGAGGGAACCATCTTTTAAGCTGGTTCCCCCCAGCACCAGCTCCTGCCACCTGTCCTCCTCACCCTACATACTGCTTGCAGCAGGGGGAGGGGAGCAGGTGGATCCAATGTTCATGGGGAGCTGGGATACAGGGGCAACAAGGGCAGAGGAGTGCATGTAGTTGACAAGATTAACCAATAAACCCAGGTTTATCAGTTAATCTTGTAATCGTCTACATGTTGACATTCCCGCCCCTTCATTGGAGGCACAAGGAACCTTAAGTTGTAGGCACAGCCCCCTACAGACACTGCTGGCCAAAAGAAGTGTTTCAGGTGGACAGGCTGCACATGTCCCAGGAATGGAATGCATGGACAAGCACTAGAATCACAACTGGCAAATACATGCTGAAAATACAATTATGGAAGCCACAGGCTCTTATGGGCTGAGCAAGTGATTAATCTAATTAAAGACTCAGATAATCTTGAGCTTTAACCCTATTTTACACTCTGTCCAACACATTATGCTAGCTGACCTCATTGTGCTTCACTCAGATAATTTGCACAGAAAATGAGGTTTATGGAAGAAGCACCCTCTCTACCTGCCCAAAAACAAAAACAAAAACCTGAAGATACAGTTGAGCTGAATTACACTGTCCTGTTATAGGTGGTGAGTTATATGGGTCCATGGTGCTAGTGTTCCACCAATATTCAAAGTACAGGGGGCGCAGCTCCACCTATGTTTGGGGCTGGCCCTCCCTTGGCCCTGACTACCACCCCTATGTGCCTTCCCCTGAGCTGGCTGCCACCCTCCTCACCCCCTCTCTTGGCTGGGGCCACAAGCCCTCTGCCCCGAGAACCCCCCACATGCCCAAAGGAGCCTCAGGTCAGCCGCACCACACTGGCCCAACCTGCTCTGGGGAATAGCTACCGTGTCTCCTTGATTCAAAGAGGCTTCTGACATGCCCCATGCAAGTTCCACACTCCTTACCCATAACCCCACACACCCAGCCAGAGCCTTCAACCCCTCCTGCACCTCAACTCTCTGCACTAGCCCTGAGCCACTCCCACACCCCAGAGGGCTCACCCCCTCACACATCCCACGTTGTTGAAGTTTTACTGTTTCTAGTCCATTTTTATATTAAAAAAAAAAATCAATCAGCTTACAAGGCAGGGAGGAGGGAGACTTGACCATTCACCAGACGCTATACTATTATGAACAAGTAGCTCTTTCATTAGCAAATATGAATCCCAGAGTTTGCTATCAGCAAGTTGCACCTGAATGAACATATTAATTTGCTCATTATCTGTTTCAGTGACTAAAAATGTGACGGTTGATAACCATGTGCATTTCTTCCTAAATTATAAATGGTTTAAATTTATTTCATGCAAAATTAAACAGTAATAAGACAAGACAGTTGCAGCTTTGTCACAGTGACAGTAACTGTGCATACATCAAAGTACTGGGAAAGGAGACCCCTATTTTTAAAAAGGCATTCTGTTTTGGATGCATCCATTTTTGGTGTACAGCGCTAGTAGCGCATGATCTTCTGCAGGGATGAGTACCCACAATTGCAGTAGCTGCAGAATTTCTGAAAAAAAAAATACCTTAAAATGTCCCAAATCAGGCACACATTTAAAAAAAAAAAAAACACACACACTTGAAAGTTCAGCCCTAAATCTGAATGCCTTTAACCTTCTCTAAATCAAATCCAAAAACATACTAAGCAAATATTAATACATGCATAAATTGTAAGATGCTAATTAGAAATTATGAAAGAGTGGGCAAAGTGTCCAATTACTTCTAAGTTAATTTTAAAATTTAACCCTATCGGCAAAGTGTCCAATTACTTCTAAGTTAGGGTTAAATTTTAAAATTAATACAATAATCCCCCCAAAATGCACTTATTACAAGGTTACCTGGAACAAATAAAATGCCAACTTTTCATTATATTCCCACTGCTTCAGAGCTTGTTCCACCTCTTGAGGCATAGCTACTGAACCACCACCTTGGTTTGCGGTCACATGATAAAATTCTGCAATCTTTGCCAGCTGCTCTCGAAGGTACCGGGTTGAGATTTGAGTCCATTCTATGAAATAAGTTTAAAATTAAAAATTGACATCTTTCTTTTCATGTGATGACATAGTTTATTTGATCCTTCATAGTAAAAACACAACTATTCAATTACCTCTACAGTAGTGTTTCTCAAAGCATCCGCAAAACCACTTTGAGAAAGCTGCTAACTGGCTGCTCCAGTGCATTTATTTACCAGCTCTGTGGCCACAAAACCTTGCAGCTCCATTGGCTCCGGTTCGCTGTTTGCAGACAAGGGGAGCCACGGGAAGCAGCATGAGCTGCGTCGCCACTTCCTGCAGCTCTCCTTGGCTGCAAACGGTGAACCAGAGCCAATGAGAGCCACAAGGTTCCATGACCACAGAGCCAGTAAGTAAACACACCAGAATAGCCAGTTAGCAGATTTCTTAGAGTGGTTTCACAGATCACTTTGAGAAACAGTGTTCTACAGTCAAAATAACTTTTCAAAACATTCAACAGCAACTCTAACATAGTTCTGAATTAACAGGTTTAGTGTGTGCGCATTTCCTGAGCTTTGTTTCCAAAGCGTACACCAATAAATATGTAACTAGCATGCTAGCTTAAGGAATGTGTAATTTAAAAAGGTACAAATACAAATTACAGGTTGAACCTCCCAAAACTGGGAATCTCTGGTCTGGTGACATCTGTGACCACAGATATTCCTGGTCCAGGGAGTCCTGGCCAGTAGCCCAGTGGCACAAAGGCAGGCAGCAGGGAACCCAGCGGGGCTGGAGCCAGAAAAGTGGCAACCCGGGTTGCCAGGGTGGGAGACGCAACAGCCCAGGCTATCAGGGCCACAGCAGCACAGCAGCCTGACAAGAAAGGGGTGGGTTGTGGCAGCCCAATGCGGAGGAGTGACTAGGGTACTGGTAACAGGGGACCTTCCGTTGTCCTTCAAATTCCCTTGTTTGGAACTGGTCAGGTCCCGAAGGAGCCAGACCAGAGAGGTCCAACCTGTGCATCTTTAGGTAATCACTCATCTGCTCCGCCAAGGGTCAATATTCAAATCACAAAGCAACCTTGTATAGAAGTGTAGGAATAAATATATTATAATCAATTACTTGGATGTGGAATCTTACTCCTCCCAGAATTAGCGACTATACATTTGAGAGTTTGCCTTTGTTTGTTCAAGAACTCCTCTTAAATGGTAAGAGTTAGGATCGCTAAATTTGTTATACAGCTTCCTCTTACCATAACTTAAAGCAAGATAAGGGTTAGTTGTGGGAGAAGGTGGCTGAAGCTTCCACCTTCCCACTTTTTACAGAGGGCCATAAAGAGAACTTCTCCTAAACGGTAAGAACTAGGACCACCAAATCAGGTGTGCAGCTTCCTTTCCTCATAAGTTAAAGCAAGGTAAGGGTTTCGGGAGAAGTGGGGGGCTGAAGCTTCTCCCATGCATACAGGGACGCATAAACACCATAGAGAAAATAGACAGGATCACCAGGCAGGTGAATGGAACTGGCTGTGGTGTACCACCCCCTCTCCAAGACTGCCCCAATCCTGAGCCTCCCACCCCCTAGGTGCCCTTCGGGGGGGGGGGGCAACTGCAGCTCTCCTCCACCCCCGCCCTTCATATAGGAAAATTGCTGGCTGTTCCCCTTTGTCATGGAGTAAGAGGAAGTGCACAGTTTGCTCCATTCTTCGCTCCGGCTGGGGAGACCAGGGGGTAGATGAAACTGGACCTGCCCCAGCTCAGGAACATGCACCCTTCCCCTGTCTGTGCCCGCTGGAGCTGCAGTGGCCATGGAGAGGTGCTTCTCACCTGGCCTCAAGCTGCTGCAGTGAGAGAGGGCTGGTGTTGTCCTCTCTCCCAAGGGCAGCCTGTACACTGAATCCCTCATCCCCTGTCCCAGCCAGACCAATGGTTTAAATGAGGAGAAAACAAAAATTAACTGAGTTAAGGATCTGAGCAATGCTGGATAGGTCATCTAGTAACAAAACTAAAAGGATTTTACAAAAGCCAAAATGATTGGAAACAAAATTGTTCTTATAACGTTATACATCAGTTTCAAAGGAATACTGATTTTAGTTTTTTCCTCTAGAACATAACCTTCTTAGAGCAGTTTATTAGGTCAACAGACTGGCCACTGCAATGTCAAATGCATCAAAACAAGGTTGCTTTGAAGGTTCTTACATCAGGCCAACAAAGATGCAATCACATATTTGAGTCATCTTGCACAGCTTGTCATACAGGTCATGACATTGACAGACAGCAAACAATACTGCTTCTCTCTGTCTCAACCAACCAGGGATTCTACAAAGCAGGATGCTTTTGTGGAAGCTTGGAGAATTAGTACAAACTAAGTTACATTAAAACCATAGGTGAAAAATCCACCCACTGGATCACCTTTGGCAACCTCAAAGCATAAAAACGTCAACTTCATTTCATTCTGTATCGCAAAGAGCTAGTGGCACCTTGCTTATGCCACTTGGCATTTCTGACAATACTCACATTTATTTGAAAGGCCTCTGCCCAAAACCTTAAATCAAAAGTAACCAACAGTCATTCAGGGGCACCCAGCCCTGGCAGTCTGTGGTCACTGTATGCCTACAGACAGCACACAATCTCTTGGTGCATAACAACTTGAGAATCATACATCTCCCAACCATAATTCTCTCACTCTCTCAAAAAGACTCATGACAAGGGTATCATGATCACATAAAGAGGTGTCATCAATTTTTAGCTCCAGCTTCAATAGGTAACAGCTGTTTTACCATGTGAGCCCTGCAAAATGTGCTGAGAAAGGCAAACACAACCAATTGACCACACAGTCTACTGCCACAGAAGGTTTCCATGTAACTCTGAAAATGGCCATTACTGCACCTGACTATACATTGGCACTTTCTTATATACACCCCCCCTACCACCTGGGCCTACCTGTCTGGCCACATGACCAGAGCCAATAGTGACTGAGCTAAGAGATGGGTAACAAGAATGCTGTCCTGAACATCAAAACCAACTTCAGCTAAAGCTACTAGTGCCAGGCCACTTGAGTCCACACACGAGAGAGCAATGTATAACAAATACTGTGTTCCTCCTTTCTTTACACACAGGAAAGAGACACACAAAAACCTGGGTCACCACCCACTTCAGTGACTTAGAAGGTCACAGTCAAGAAGCTTAATTTACAAAATGTAGGTTCAATTATACAATTTAAGGATTTCTTAAAAATAAGTTACATTGCACAAGTAAAGAATTTATTTTGCCATGTTTTATAGGATCAAATATGTACTCGGTGCTTTACAAAGAGGCTAGAATGCAATTTCCCTGACCTGAGCTATTCAGTCTCCTTTTGACTCCCAAATGGAGAAAATGGCCATTTAAAGAAAGGCAAAGCAGGAAGGAGAATTTCCAGTTTCATAATCCAGAATGGGCGGGAAACTACTCAATGGGACAGGTATGGGAAGCTGCCCACTCCCTGGGAGATCTTTTCCAAAGATTTTGGGCAGATCAGAAAGAAGCAGCAGAGCTTCTTGCCACAAGTCAATGGAACAGGTAAGTCTGGATGGCAAACACCAAGCAAACTTTTAGGATGTTACCCAAACCCTTCAGTTTTAACCCATTGAAGTTTTGCTAACTGAAGAGTTCCCCATTACTCTAATTGCAGCACTTTGGGCTACTCAAAATAAGATTCAAGTATCTGCTAATATTTTTTATTCCTTTCTGTGGTATGCCCCACTGCCTCATCGAGTTTATCAGAACAGCTTCTACAAACTGGACCTTTTCTTGCTTCAGAGAAGAGCTATTACATCTAACTTTACAGCTGATAGCTATGGAGAACACCCAATATTTGTAGCATTCCTTTTAAAAGGCTACGCCTCAGATTTCTACCCTCACCTTACCTCTTTTTCTTCCTTTGAAATACAAATACTTCCACATAGACACATAAAACATGCATCTGGATATGAATTTAAAAGTCTGTTTTGAGGCACTTGGAACTGCACATTTGGTTTTAAATCTTTACTTCTAACTCATTGCACTCAAAACTTTGGCTCTTCCTGTCAGCAGTTCATAGAATCATAGAATCATAGAATAATAGGACTGGAAGGGACCTCAAGAGGTCATCGAGTCCAGCCCCCCACCCTCAAGGCAGGACCAAGCTCCACCTACACCATCCCTGACAGATGTCTATCTAACCTGTTCTTAAATATCTCCAGAGAGGGAGATTCCACCACCTCCCTTGGCAATTTATTCCAATATTTGACCACCCTGACAGTTAGGAATTTTTTCCTAATGTCCAATCTAAACCTCCCTTGCTGCACTTTAAGCCCATTACTCCTTGTCCTGTCCTCAGAAACCAAGAGGAACACATTTTCTCCTTCCTCCTTGTGACACCCTTTTAGATATTTGAAAACCGCTAGCATGTCCCCCCTTAATCTTCTTTTTTCCAAACTAAACAAGCCCAGTTCATGAAGCCTGGCTTCATAGGTCATGTTCTCTAGACCTTTCATCATTCTTGTCGCTCTTCTCTGTACCCTTTCCAATTTCTCCACATCTTTCTTGAAATGTGGCGCCCAGAACTGGACACAGTACTCCAGCTGAGGCCTAACTAGTGCAGAGTAGAGCGGCAGAATGACTTCACGAGTTTTGCTTACAACACACCTGTTGATACAACCTAGAATCATATTTGCTTTTTTGGCAACAGCATCACACTGTTGACTCATATTCAACTTGTGGTCCACTATGACCCCTAGATCCCTTTCTGCCATGCTCCTTCCTAGTTGCTCTTGTATGAACTCCTACCATTTTCACTGAAGTCATGGAGGTCGTTTGCTGAACTTTACCTTAATATTTGTAAAGTATTCTAATGTCTTGCCTATCAAAAAACCAAACACCCCTCTCAGCTTTCAGATTCTGTCTTTGTAGGACTTTCACACCACACAGGACACAATTATGCATTTATCATCTGTTACCTACCAGCCCTGTGCTTTTGGAAGCCAGGGAGTGACATTCATGGAAAACCATTCCCCTCCCCCTCTGATGTGCTATAGATT